TTTTATTTTTTAAAATATTTTCAATTTTAGAATTAAAATAACACATTCTTTATTTACAGGAAGTTCCAAACTTACAATAAAGGCAAATGAAAATCAGGAACAGAACACTTCTCTATCTCCAAAAGATGATGATGCAGATAAAAATACATCCATATCAAAAGATGTCATAACACCAGACCTTGAAAATCAAATATCTGATTTGCTTTCGTCTATTCGCAAAGCAGAGGAAGAAGAAAAAAGTGATGACATTAAAACTGAAGACATATCACAAGAAACAAATGATATCAAAGAAGTTAAAAAAGAAACACAAGATGCTAAGGTCTACACTCCTAGCAATATTTATGAGGAGGATTCTCAAGGTCTGGGAACAATTCAGGAAGACGCAGAAAATAAAATTATAGAAGATAACAAAGCAACCCCCGAAAATGCTTCTGAAAATCTACAAACACAAAGCAATGGAAGTGACAAAGAAACAAAAAATAAAGAAACTGGCAAAGGTACACCAATGAAGGTCACTTCTCGTCTGAGTAATGTTACACCCAGTATCATTCGAACTAGACGCGCCAGCAGACTTGCCCAAAATAATTAGACTTTGGGGATTGATGTAATACTTTTTAGCTATAGTTTATATTTTAACTCTAACTTTATGTTTTACTCATTCCTCTTTTTAAATACTTTTTAGCTACTGATATTTATATTTTACTCCTTCATGTTTTACCATGGCTACATAATTGTAGCTCATTTAAAATTAGGTTTTATTAACACAATTCCTTTGTTAAGTGACAAAACGATTGTATTAAAAAGAAGATTGACTTTAATTTGATTTATTACAATTGTACAAAATAAATGCTGTGTGTATTATTTTATATTTTCCATTCCCCAATCAAAAGGTTTTTCTGTCAAATCAAAGTAGTTAATTTTTAGATAGACTATTACGACTGTCGATTTTGTACCCTCTTGAAAATTTACAAAACAAAATGAGAGATTACTTGTCCTTGATTGGTTGAAGTGCCCATATGATTTTTAAAGCAAGTACCTAAATATTAAATACTCTGATATTTTTTTTAGCTTATTATGGTTTAGGCCGTCCCTGCTTAAAGTGCAGCTTAATATTGCTTGGTGAGTTAGAAGGACTTTTATGGAAATGAGGCAATCCTTCGTAATTCTCAGAGGTGACAATGCATCTGCATTTTGATTCTTACCCCCTGAAGGTAAATATTGATGTCTGTTACTTTATATAAGAAAACTCACAGTACACAATTGTTATGTAATTAGCATCTGAAATAACGATTTGGTGCATTCATCCTAATAAAAGTAAAATAAATATATTTATCAATGAGACTTTTTCATAAATTTAGATTTTTAATATTTTCAACATAACATAGTTCAATAACGAAGCAGCGTCAACGGTGCGAACAGTGCCGGATAGGCACGTGCCTAGGGGCGAAAGATAAATATAAGGACCCGTGCGGAAGTTATTCGACGAAAAAAAAGTCTATTTAATTACTCCTACATCGCCCTCACTCTCTATCGCATTTCACGTTATACGTGGTAGAGCCATGCTGCAGTTATATTAGTAGTATAGTTGTAGCACGAAGCTCTCACAGAATACCAGCGTGAAATAGTAGCTTAATGCTGCTGTATTTCGTATGGTGAGTGTAGAGAACCGGAGACCCTTTTTACTGGAAACGAGGCATTCCATCTCAGTCCTTACGGGTGACAACGCATCTGCATTTTGATTTTTAATGGAGGATAGATGTAGATGTCTAAGGGCCGCAGCAACCACTTACCATCAGGTGGATTGTGTGCTCGTTTGTCACCCTATTCTATAAAAAAACGTGTTAAGAGTACTTGTGCCCTAATTATTTTGCATCTATCAAACTATATTGTAAATTATAATAAAGGTTATTTGCAAAATGAGTAGTTATTAACACCGTTGTCCTTGAAACCAGTGGTTTGTTTTCACTTATAGAACGTAAATTCAATGAAAAATAAAATTTTTTTTTAGTAAAATCTCAATTTTTCCATAATTCCTCAATTTTTGCCTGTCCTTAGCCAGGATAAAAGTATGAAGTAAATGTTACATCACAGGTTATGTGTACCTATTGTGTTTTTATTGGAATTTTGTGTAGGTAGCTAGCGCGGGCGGTGATCTTTACACTGAATACGTCACTCGGGCGCATAAATTTACGGACGGTGTCGGACAGAAACTTTTTAAATGTCATGAAAGAAAATAGCGTTTTCTTTTTCTTAAATTCGGATAAATATTTTTATATTAAAGCCTATGATTTTAGTGACAACGGTGTTTACACTTACACCTTTTTATATATATATATATATATATATATATATATATATATATATATATATATAGTACCCGGATGACCGACCTATGCTCGGTTTTTTTTTGAAATTATATTTAGATACAAATTACATAGTGATGAATAATATTTTTTGATGTTATTGACATAATAGAAAAAACTGAACTGGTTATTTGAATAAAAAATCATGAGTGCAATTAATTTAATTAAAATTTTCGTATTTTTAAAAAATACTAAAAAAAGGCTCGAAATAATAGATTTTCTCACAAAAAATGTAACTTGAAAAAAAAGGAAAAAAAATCGGACCGGAGACGGGACGCGAACCAAGGCATTACGATTTCGCGAGCGCTCTATATCCACTTAAGCTATTACGATCATACAGTGTCAAAATTTACCTTCTTATATTGTAGCAGTTTTTCATTGCCTGAAAACACGGCCAAAAAGACATTTTCTAAAAATAAATCCTAGCTAGATCGATTTATTGTCCCCGAAACTCCCTGGACACTAAATTTTATGAAAATTGTTGGAGCCGTTTCCGAGATTCCGATTATATACATAATATATACAGAGTGACTGAAGTTATCACATTAAATGAAAAGACATATCCTACATAACTTCTTTTAACATACATAACTAAAAGAAATGTAAAAAACATCCTAGTCCCACTAGCCTTTTTTTCGGTTTAATATTAAACAACATCATGTAAATGCATATATTTATCACCTGACGAATACTAAAGGGTCACAGACCCAAGGCCGGCAAAGGCGAAGATACCTAGTTCAAACGTTGCCATTCCTAATTACACAAATAAAGGAAAATCAAGCAAAAAATATACTTAAGACTAACGATTTAAGGCATAATTCTTATGTGCGAAATTTAAAACAAAGGGACCGCGCGATGCGAGTGTGAAAACAAATTCAAGCAAAAAATTTACTTATAATAGATGTCCGAAGGCATAATTCGCTATGCGTGAAGTGATAAGAAATGGAAGGGAGTAGTGTGAAGATGCGTGTTGTTTACATTCGTATTTCTCTGGCGCATGGGACGATATCGATAATTTAACCCTTAGATGCATGAATTTTTATTTTTGAAAGAATAAAATATATGTGTTAAAGCGTGACCTCCTGATCATAGGAAAAATAATAAAAAAAATTATATCTGTATATTAAAAGTTATATTGGCAAAAAAAAGTTGTTATCAATTTTGATAAACTATGCATTAAGAAGTTTTTTGCTTAGTGATACTAGAAAACATAAAGTACCCAAGTTTTTATACTTAATGTTATTTTATTTTTACATAGCATGAAAAACTTGAAAGCAATTATTTTTTCTATTGTCACAAAGCGATATTTTGCACTTAGTACACATTACAGAAGTTAGTTTTTTGCAATTTGCATATTTGCACTGATTTCTCTTAGTGTTGTAGCTTTTGTCATGTCCAACTCCATCAGTACGGACGTCGTTTGGTGGTAATGTCTGTGCACCAATCTTTGGTCTCTTTTTTGACGTATTTTCCTGTCTATTCATGCTGGGTCTGCCTCTTTTATTTTCAGATACGGCCCCATACTTGCACAAAGTTTCAGCTAGCTCCGTCCGAAAATCAACAAGTTTTAAAATGTTTTTTGGATTTGTTTTCTTTTTCAGTGAAACTTTCTTGTATAAAATCCAGCTGTTTATTACCGCCATGTCCAGCATATGTTGGAATAGTCAATTGGTCCACTTCTTGGACTTCATTCGGATCCTATATCGCCCTAAATAACTATCCATTGTGTCCACACCCCCCATATGTGCATTATATTCTTCAATTACTTTCGGACATGGTATTGATATGTTTTTTTTCTGCTTCTTGTCATAGCGGCTAATAGTACCCACAGGATTTGCACCTACATACGTAGATAACAGCAAGACCTGTTTGTTATCCTTCCAGCTAGTCGCTGCAAACTCAACACCATCAAGAGAAGCAACATTCTCGTCGTACGAACCCCTTGGTACAGATGTTTTCTGTACATCTTCCTTTTTTGGTAGCTTACAGGTTTTTCCTAATCTGTTTCTTTGAACTGTACCTAAGCAATATATGCCTTCCTTGTGCAAATGATGAAACAGAGTCAGGCTTGAATAAAAGTTGTCAAAGTACACTATATGATTTACTTTTCTCGGTACAGGTCGAAGCAAACGCACCACTGTATTTGAAACTGCTCCAAGATTTGGCTCATTTGGTAGTCTTTTGTAGTCATGAGTTCCTGAGTAAATTTCAAATGAATATGCGTAACCCATCAGACAACAGAGCACGTACAATTTGAAGCCCCATTTATGAGGCTTGTTGGGCAAGTACTGCTTCATAAAGTGCGAAATTTTAGTTGCGCACATCTGCTCATCTAATGAAAGTCTATGATCAAAAGGAACTGACATGAATCGTTGATTTAGGTGGTCCACTATTGTTCGTATTTTGTGTAATCTGTCATGTTCAGGATGTTCACGGGGTAAGTGACCTTCATTATCGTTAAAATGAAGAATTTCCCGAATTTTTTCAAAACGGTTGACGGTCATCGTATCAGCTATTGGATGGAATCTTACATTATTTGCCCAGTAGGATCTTATACTAGGATAGTGATATACCGAAGTATAAATCAAGATACCAATATATTTTCTCAGTTCCAGAACTGTCATTGGTTCAGAAAAATTAATATTTTTTTTGTATAGCATATTTATTAGATTCAGTAACGATTCTTGCGAGTAAACTTTCATCAAAAAAGTATGAAAAATACTGATAAGGAGTAGATAAATTCATAATAATCGGAGTGTAGTCAGTACATCCAAGAAATGTAAAAGCCTGATCCACCAAATCCAAATTCTTCTTTTTCCATATCAAATCCCGTAGACTAGGAGTGGCGTTGGAATGGGGCTGGTTTTCTACTAGTTCATCAAATATTAGTGGAGGATCAGGGGCTGTCCCATCATTTTCGGTCAATATTTCTTCTAGTATTTGGTTCTCTCTTTCAAGATCTGCTTGCAACTCACCGACATTATCATAATAGTCTAAGGCATCCTCGTCTAGATCACTTTCATCTTCTGATACCTCTCCATTTTCTAACCGCCATAAGAGTGTCGAAATGTCTTCGTCATTCATTGTCCGCTGCTAGAAACCTAAAAACAAATATCTGTTTAAAAAAAACTTAAATAAAGAAACGAATCCGAAAAAAACATTAAAAAATAATAAACCCATATATCGAAAAAGTTTTACCGCTACTGCATACATTATCATTTTTGATAACAAACTTCAAGCCCAAAAATTTTACCAAATGTACAATTTTATTGAAAAATTAAAACATGGACACAAAATATGGATACTAACCTTCCAAAAAATAATTTTTTTATTAGTTGAACACACTTTTATTTGTAAGTTTTCTTCGGATGAAAATTACGAATTCGTTTTACTCTACAACCTGTCTGCGCTGTCATCGAAACTTTAAACTTTGGACCAATCACATGTAAGTATTTGAATGAACCAATTACAGACGAGTCTATGACATATAACGACACGTTCAGAAATCAAAATTTCCGGTTAAACGACTTTCGTTCAGGAATTAGGAGTCTAGAAAACCGTATTATCAGTTTTGATAAACTATGCACTTAAGGGTTAAGTCACTTAGCCCGACGCCGGTGCCCTTGGATGGTTCATGAGTCACTTGACCTACTTTTCGCGTAGGCGTCCTTTGAGTTTTAATTGTTGTTTTTTAGTTTTGTGGACATTTTGATAAGTTTTTTGATATGTTTGTGATAGGACACTTTAATAGGATAATAATAGTTGTGATAAGGTGGTGTTACAGTTTGTGCGAAATTGGATGCTTACTTTTACTGTTTTATATATTTTTTATTTGTGATAGGACACGTTTAATACGCTAGATAAAAAAACATATTTTATAACTTAGTGAAGTGGTGTAACAGGTCGCTTAAAATTGTACGCTTTTTCTTCTTAACGTTTTAACTTTTATAAGTTTTAAGATGCCTCGTGTCAATTTCACGACGTCGGAATACACCGACATGATTTTGATTTACGGAGAGTGCCACCAAAACGCGGCTTTGGCATTACGAACATATCAAGAAAGGTATCATACCACACGTGTATGTCCTACAGACTCACGTATTTTTATACGGGCAGTCCAAAGATTACGCGACGGTCAATATTTGATGCCGCGTCAGGTTGAAATTCCTCCGCGAGTATCCGTGGCTCAGGAAGAACAAATATTGAATTATTTCGCTCGTAATCCAACTTCAAGTCTCCGCAGAACAGCTCGCCAATTCCGTGTACACCACCACAAGACTGTTCACAAAATATTAAGAATAAACAAGCAACGGTCGTTCAAATATGTAAAGGTACAGGCTTTATTAGATAGAGATAAGCCAGTCAGGGAAGCCTACTGCCAATGGATCCTGAGCAGAGTAGCTAATGACTCTAACTTTTTAGCTAACATAATGTGGACTGACGAGAGCACATTCTCGCGCAACGTAATATGGAATCGGCAGAACTTACGGTACTGGAGTGAAGAAAATCCGCAACTGTGTCGAGAGTCTATGCACCAATACAGATTTGCCGTTAATGTTTGGGCTGGAATACACGGAGATCAAAATATTGGTCCCGTGTTTATCGAAGGAAACCTTAGTGGGCCTAAGTTTTTGGAACTGCTTGACGGCCCAGTGGCGGATTACGTTGATGGATTACCGTTAGGGGAAAATAGCCGGTTATGGTATCAGCTTGACGGAGCACCTGCTCATTCAGTGGTGGCTGCCAGACAGCGCCTCACTGAAATGTTCGGAGAGTAGTGTATTGGCCGATACGGACCTTCTCGGTGGCCAGCAAGGTCACCGGATCTACCGTGAGTATCTAACACCGTGAGATTTTTTCTTATGGGGTTATTTGAAAAATGAGGTGTACTCCACGGAAATAACGACTGTCGAGGACATAAAAATAAGGATTATTCAGGCTTTCGACAAAATAAAAAAATTTGCCGCCAATGGTGACCTACGCAAGGTCCGAAATAATATCAAGCGACGATGTTAGTTATGCATTCGGGTACACGGCGGACATTTTGAAAATCTAAAAGTTTAATTTGATTTATTTATTAAACTATAGTGACCAATAAGAGTTATTATTTGGATAAAAACAATACCATAAAGTCTGTGATTTGTTTATAACATCGCATGAGCATCGCCTTACACGTGCCTAGTTGCCTATGTATGGGCAAGTGTAGGTAACCTTTGTCAATGCCGCCGTGTCGCCGTGATGTTGCCGCTTTTACAGGTCACGTCAGGTCAGTAAACTAATATTATCCGGGATGATTTATTTCGTGTAATTTTTTACGCTATTTATTTTGTTTGAAAGATGCACTTTTTGTCTTTTGGTATTATGGTTTATTTTATTATTTCAACAGACGTATATCAACTTGCATTAACTGCCGTGCTATAAAAAAGCGATAACCTAATCGCCACCCAGTATATATATATATATATATATTATAGTACCCGGATGACCGAGCTATGCTCGGTTTTTTTTGAAATTATATTTAGATACAAATTACATAGTGATGAATAATATTTTTTGATGTTATTGACATAATAGAAAAAACTGAACTGGTTATTTGAATAAAAAATCATGAGTGCAATTAATTTAATTAAAATTTTCGTACTTTTAAATAAAATACTAAAAAAGGGCTCGAAATAATAGATTTTCTCACAAAAAAAGGTAACTTGAAAAAAAAAGGAAAAAAAATCGGACCGGAGACGGGACGCGAATCAAGGCATTACGATTTCGCGACCGCTCTATATCCACTTAAGCTATTACGATCATTAACACAGTGTCAAAATTTACCTTCTTATATTGTAGCAGTTTTTCGTTGCCTGAAAACACGGACAAAAAAACATTTTCTAAAAATAAATCCTAGCTAGATCGATTTATTGCCCACGAAACTCTCTGGACACTAAATTTTATGAAAATCGTTGGAGCCGTTTCCGAGATTCCGATTATATACAATATGTAACGTAATTAACGCACACCCTCAGACACCCCAATTAGTATATTATGTTATAATCATAATACATACACTGAATTTTTAGTTAAACATTTTTATGCACTGATTATTTATCAAATTAGTTATACTAATTACGGAAGAATGTTGTGGTCACAGTACAGATCCAGGAACGCAAAGACTTTAACGTGTTTGAAATAAAGTTCATTTTTCTTTATTTTTATTGAATGACAGAATTAGTAATAATACAAATAAAACTGCACTCTTAAAAGTCTTATTGCCTTAAGTTAAGGTCCATTTCAGTTTGACTGTACAGATTTAGTGTGACTGTAATTTACGTAGTTTTAATTATTTTATTCTATTTGCGATAAAAATTACCTATATTAAAAATGATAGGGATCGCTTCAGTAAACGATTCTGAACAAACTACTTTCTCAAAGTGTGTTAATTATTGTACGTGTTGTATATACAATATGTAACGTAATTAACGCACACCCTCAGACACCCCAATCAGTATATTATGTTATAATCATAATACATACACTGAATTTTAGTTAAACATTTTTATGCACTGATTATTTATCAAATTAGTTATACTAATTCCGGAAGAATGTTGTGGTTACAGGACAAACCCCCACGAACGCAAAGACTTTAACGTACTTGAAATAAAGTTCATTTTTCTTTATTTTTATTGAATGACAGAATTAGTAATAATACAAAATATAACTGCACTCTTAAAAGTCTTATTGCCTTAAGTTACGGTCCATTTCAGTTTGTTTTGACTGTACAGATTTAGTGTGACTGTAATTTACGTAGTTTTAATTATTTTTGGGATAAAAAATTACCTATATTAAAAATGATAGGAATCGATTCAGTAATCGATTCTGAACAAACTACTTTCTCAAAGTGCGTTAATTATGTTACGTGTTTTATATATATATATATAAGAAGGGGATATATATATAGGTATAGGATATATATATATATATATATAATACGTTTCTATGTGTGAAAAATTCTAAAGTCTCCTTGTCTCCTTCTACAGCGGGAAAAGCCTATATCTAGCGGTGGAATTTTAATGGCTCGGCCACAATATGCTCCTCGCGCAATTAATCGCGTCGCTCCGCACATGGCCGCTTGCGTTTGCAAGTTTGCAACACAATGGATGTTGAAACTGTTGCAGTGTGTGAGCTATGCATATTTATTATAGCTAATTATATCAATGTCATAATAAATATACGAAGTTGTCGTTGTCGAGATTGCTTTTACCCTGCATGAGTAAACTCATGTGATAATATAGCTGAATGATGATGATTTAAATAGAATTATTTATTATTTTTAAATGACACGTGACGTGCTTCCGTAATGAGCGCTCAATTCGGACTGCGAAGTGCGAATGCGAATGCGATAGCGCGAGTGTGGGTGTGTGCACCCAAAAAACCGACAAAACAGGGAGGGATAGGCATGACGAGGAGCATAACGTGCGTCATGACAAGTATTGTGGCCACACTACATCTCTGCCTTCTTTCCTCGCTGCTTCCCATGCCACTCCACGAGTGTGTGGCCGGAGGGTAAGGACAGGTGAAGAAGAAAATACAATGTTCAAATTACGGTAGTTTTTATTCCATAAACTCCATAGACTGGTTTGTCGATAAAACGCAACTTTTCCATAAAATTAACTTTGTAGGTTACACGTATTCGATATTGTCGTTACTTATGACCATAGCGATCTCAATACAATAAAAATATTTAAAAAAACTATATAAATTTATTTCATAAATATGAATATTATTTTTATAGTGTTGACTGCATTCATTCTTAACAGTCTATAGAAGTCAACGTGCTGTAAGTAGTCCTTCCCCAAAGATTACCTCATAGGGCGGATTTTACCACGGTTGCCGCTGCTACCCATCCCCTATTTCTGTCTCCCTCTGTTTCCTCTTACGATACCCATGGAATGATATAAGGTAGCGAATTCTCTCACGACACCACCACACGGCGTATGCATCACTGACTACAGTAACGTCTCCGGGGCGCAGTTGCTTAACAATGAGTTGTGGCGTTCAGGGCTCGAATCCTTCGTGGAACAATTATTTTTATGGCTAACCAATAATAGTTCCAGGTCTGGATATTTTCCTTGAGAAATTTATGTATATAAACTACCTCTACGATACAGAAGAAAATCCTATTGTGGGTAACTTTTTTTTCTAAAGAAGAAAATAGGAAATTCTATTCTATATATTCATTATAATCCGAAAATACTAGGCTGCACTAAAAGTATCGGGAATGGAATATTTCCACTGTTCCTGTCATATTAAAATTTTTTAATTGAAAACTCCTTGGTTTTAAAAATCGAATACCATTTATTTATTTAAAAACAGCCATGGTCACGGGGGGGGAGGGGCTGAGATGTTTTAAAAAACAATTAAATTTAAAAAACAAGTAAACATCTCAGTCCCCCCCCCCCCGTGACCATGGTTGCCGTAAAGCACCCGAAACATCGGGAATTAAAAATAAGTAAAATCAGTTAAATAAACGCGATAGAATCCATAAATTTAGTTTTATTCAATTGATGCTGTGCGTAAGCTGATTGAGGAAGATCGACATGTGACATACCGCGAAATTCAGGCAACTTTAGACATTGGCATGAGTCAAATACATATAATCTTGCATGAACAATTAGGTGTAAAAAAGTTGTTTTCCCGATGGATACCGCATTCGCTCTGTGAAGAGCAAAAAGCAGCTCGCGTTACTTGGTGCGTAAGAACTCTCGAAAGATTCCACGCAGGATTCTCAAATGCTGTATACAAAATTGTATCAGGTGACGAATCCTGGATATACGCGTACGAACTCGGAACAAAAAACCAATCACGAATTTGGGTGTTCGAAAATGAGTTAAAGCCAACAAAAATTGTTCGTTCACGGAGTGTTGAAAAAAAAAATGGTGGCCACGTTTGTCTCCAAAACCGGCCATGTTACGACTATTCCTCTTGAGGGACAAAGAACGGTTAAAGCAGAATGGTATGCTAGCATTTGTTTGCTACAGGTCTTTTCTGAACTCCGTAAAGAGGACTGCAACCGCCGCATCATCCTCCATCACGACAATGCGAGTTCTCACACCGCACGCAGAACAAAAGAGATTTTAAAGCAAGAAAACATAGAATTATTAGACCATCCGCCGTACAGCCCCGACCTAAGCCCTAATGATTTCTATACTTTCCCTAAAATAAAGAATAAGTTGCGTGGACAGAGATTTTCATCACCGGAAGAAGCTGTGGACGCCTACAAAACGGCCATTTTGGTGACCCTAACTTCCGAATGGAATGGTTGCTTCAATGATTGGTTCTATCGTATGGAAAAATGTGTCAAATTTCGCGGAGAATACTTCTCAAAGCAATAAATACATTTTTAAATAGTAATGTTGTTTCACTTCCTTGATTCCCGAAATTTTCAGTGCCGCCCTCGTAAATAAGTCTGGGAAGCCCCTACTTCTTTTCTGTGTGGCCTGTGACAGATGTGTTAAGTGTGATTATAAAATACGTTATTTACAGTGTGACTGTGATAAAACAGTACTACTGCTGCCGCAAAGTTCGGTCCTCGCCTGGATCCACCCTGCACGCCTCATTAATTCGTCAATATATCTATTATAGTAACGTCTTCCAACCTTCATTTCAGTTGGTGTTACTGACTTGCCCACTTATTTATGAAGAATTAAAAACCGGATATTCAAACACAGCTGATCTGCGTCGAAGAATTTATCGTAGGTAGTTATAAAATTTTAACTATCACTTAAAGATTTTTATATCATACGTCATACGTACCATGAGTTGATTTATATAATATTCGTATGTGATAGTATTTGTAACAGGGTCCAAAGCAGTTTGCATCATTTCATCAAGCTCCTCCTGAAATAACTTAAAAAAGTTAAAAATCTAGAGTAAAGTGATCCTACTTATAAATTTTATTCCGCGGTTTTGCACGTTTAGACTTCGGTTAAACTACACAATGGCCATGTATAGGAAAGGGTTAAAACCTGAAAAGATTTTAACGTTTATAAAGCGGTTCACTCCATAACAGACTAACTAAAAATTAAAATTATGTAATGAATCTAACCATTACCCTAAATCATAGTTTAAACATAGTCTAACTTTAAACTGTGCCTATATATTATGTCTTGGGTGTTGTAAGGTGCCGTAAAGGGAAACTGAAGTAGGTACCTAATGGGAAACAGCTTCTGCAATGAAGTAGAGCCTTCTACTAGATGAGATTATGAGTATGACCTGGCAAGATATACGTGGTAGAGACACGCTGCAGCTATATTATGGTTGTAGCATAAATGGGTCGGCTCGACCGGGGAATGATCACGCTCTCACAGAGTACCAGCGTAAAATAACAGCTCAATACTGCCGTATTTCGTATGGTGAGTGTAGAGATCAGGAGACCCTTAGTGGAAACCAGGCATTGCATCTTGTTCCTCAATGGTGAAAACGCATCTGCGTTTCGATTCTTAATCGAGGAGAAATGTAGATGTCTATGGGCCACAGCATCCACTTACCATTAGGTGGACTGTGTGCTCGTTTGTCACCCTTATTCTATAAGAGAAAGACTTATAGGAAGTCGATGGATGAATTTGGCTCAGGAACCTGATTTGTGTCATTACTTTGGGGATGCCTATGGTCTATGGAGAAAATATTGTGATTGGTAGCTTTGTAGGCGTGTGTTTTGTGGGCTTATTTTATAATTTATTTTTTACGTTATTTTTGTTACTAAGTTATTTAATTTTTAATGTTTTGGTCAAAAAAAATCATATACAACTTTGTACTTGAATTTTCACGCGAGCGGAGCCGCGTTCAACTAGTAGATTACCTGAGTGAATGGTTCGCCTTCTTCAAGCATCAACTGAGTAAATCTTTCTTTAGTGAGATACCCACGGCTTTCTTTGTCAAAGTAGCGAAAAGCAGCTAGTAACATCTCAGCACTTGCTGGATAAAACCTGCAACCAAAAAGCAGGTTATTTATTTTTTGAAAAAGGATAAATAGAAGTGAGGGTAGAACTCGAAACCTCCATTCGTTTAAACAGTTTTAAGTTCGTCGACGATATTGGGGGATTTCTTCAATGTCATTCAAATTCAATCGGTAGTCTTGCTTATCGTGATTCTCTTGTGAAGGATTCATGTTGGCACGAAGTTCATCACATCATACACTACATTTTGATATTGTGCCCGGCACATATTACGGTGTATTCGAATCAGGACATCCACGACATTTTCTGCCATCAGGCTACGCCACTTAGAATAACAGACAGATTTCATATCAGAGAAGTTAATTTGTTAGATATGTTAGTAGTGATTTTACACGAATTAGATTTGATAGGATAAACCAAACTACGGATATTCATAAAAATGTAAGAATTTACAAAAATATGTCGTTTTATTGCTAATTCATTCATTCATTACAAACCAGAACGATGGAATGCAGAGAATACGACAGTAGTATCATTAGGCTACTATCGTTAAAATATAGATAGATATCTCGTTCACGTCATTAGTATAATAACTTTTTTACCCGGTAGAACCATGCTGCAGTTATATTAATAGTATAATGTCCTCCAGACCGAATTTCGGCCACGGCAAGCAGCCTCAACGGAGACTAGCCATCGGCGCAGGACAGGATTATAGTGCCCAAGTGTATGCGCAAGCACAGGTGCACTCTCTATTCCCTCACTCTCATAATTCGATGGGACGGTAAACCGACACGACCGGAGAGAGATCAGGCGCAGGACCAACGGCTTTACGTGCTTTCCGAGGCACGGGGGTGAGACACCGCCAACTTCCTGACTCCGGGCAACCAAATACTGAGAATTTCTAAACGGAAAAACTCAATAATTAATTTTTTGGCCCGACCCGGCATTCGAACCCAGGATCTCACGATCAACAGTCGCACTACTTCAACCACTAGACCAACGAGGCAGTCAAATTAATAGACATAACAGAGACAAATTAATAGTATAGTTCTAGCGCGTATGGGTTGGCTCGACCGGGGAATGATCACGCTCCCACAGAATACCAGCGTAAATTAGCATCTTCACGCTGCCGTGTTTCGTATGGTGCTTGTAGAGAACCGGAGACCTATTTTACCGGAAACGAGGCATTCCATCTTAGTCCTCACGGATGACAACGCATGTGCGATTTGATGATGAAGATACTACAGCAACTACTTATCATCAGGTGGGCTGTGTGCTCGTTTGTCACCTTTATCCTATAAAAAAATACCCAGTAAAACGCGACACATCGTGAGAGGCCTAAAAGTAGTGGACTCAACCAGCTGATAAAGAACAAGAAATATGGTATTTTATATTTTTTCAATAAGTCACCTGCGTTCTATCATCATTTTACACATGTAAGGCAAAAAGTTGGCGAGCGGTACATTTCCAGTTGCCTCCTTATTCTCGGTTGCTAAAATTACTTCTTGTATTTCGGCTTCCGTTGGACAGCAGCCTGTGAAATATAATTATTTTCTTATTTTTGTTTTTAAGTGAAATTAATGTCTGTTCGTATTTTACGCACTGCCATCAGATTGCGGTAAAACTTTGTCAACTTATTGCTTACATTTGCGCGAAGGTCATAGGCGTAGTACAAATAAATGATATTTCCACAATTATTATAGTATTTCTTCAGCAACGTGCCGGGTACCAGCTATATATAAAATTAATGTGATATATTGTATTAAGGTGTCATCCCAACCCATCACCCCTACGTACCTACTGTGATGAGCGTCATCAGAGGCGACTGTGGGAAACCCCGGAAAGAATCTCAGATATACAATATGCGGCGACTGGTAGCAGCTTAACAGTTGCAAGCGCGGCAAATAAAGCAAACCTACTGTCAACGGAAGAGGCAATCGAGCAATGGAATTTTAAACAAACTAAAACTTTGTTTTAAACAAATGCCATAAATTAGATATCTAGACACAACAGCCTTACCAGGCCTCTGTCACTCGCTCTGGGCCACGCGTTATATGCCTACCGTTCTGCGTATCGTCACGGTAATATTATCTATAAGTACAGTATTGTAACTCGGCCGCATCTTTCAAATAAATGCCTACAGCCGGTAAACATGTGATAGGGCTGCCTGCCTCCAGCATTTTTACATTTGCCCACTTTGTGTTTCCATTTAGTTTTATGATTGTAAATATACTTTTTATATAAACAAATAAAATAGGTACTTTGTGAATTGAATAGGAAGTGTTCAATAAAAATGCGTGTCGTTTTTTTATTTAATCGGTTAAATAAATTTGCGACCGAAAAATATTTGCACCTCGGCAGAGACTTACGAAATGCTTTATTATTAGATTTTTAAATATAAAAAAATCCGCTTTCTAATATAAAGCTAAAAATAATATAAATTAAAAATTGTTTTGGGAAACATGGACAAGGTGGAGAAAAGGAATATCTTTTAATTGGTTATAGATACCTGCAGCTACTTTACAATTTATATGTTTGTTTTTAAATGAAGTTCAGATTTATTATTTCTTTCTTTCTATTCTATTATTTATTTCCTCCATTTTTTATATATATTTCACAAAATCATCGACTCGACTGTCTGCATCCCGAGCGCATGCCGAGATCGAGGCGCGTAGGCATAGCTCTCGCTTCGTCCGTTTGTATGAAGTTGGAATACTGTATAGATAATATTACCGAGGTATCGTCCACGATACAACCGACATAGGGCCGCCGCACGCCCGCCTGAGTACGGTGCGAGCGCTGCGCACGTTTCCCGAGCTTACTTGTCGAAATGCCAAAACCATATGTTATTGTGCAGTGGATGGGTGTAAAAGTCAAAAAACTAATGAAAATTGTCTTTTTTGCATTGACTCATGTATCAGAGCATTTATTATATAAATGTAGCAAAAAAAAACATAACTTATATGCTTTGTTACAGGAAAACCCTAATGTTGACGAAACAACACTGTATACTAATTTAAAAGCTTAAAATAAAGATTCATCTTTTTGTGGTAGGCTAAAAGTCCTACCAGAACCGTTTAATAATTATATTGAAGAATTAGAAAGAGCATTCTTAAATAATTTTGACAACGTCATAATGAATCGGCCTGGTAGCACCGTGTTGTAAATTTTACAAACCATTGATTTTCCTCTGCTTTGCTCCTGTTTTCGTCATGATTATTTATTAAAATTATTTACGCAATTTAGGAAACTTCAACGATAAAATCTAATAACCGGGAATTAAGAGAAGGAAAAAAATTCATCATCATTTTATAAAACTCAAACATATTTGATTGACAAATAAAAAATATTGTTATTATGTAATATGTATTTCGCAACATTCGTTTTATTACAATAATCATTATAGGTACAACCCTAGCGCATTCGTCCGATGAGGCGCTTGCACGTGAGTCGCACGGCGGGCAATACAATCTCGACACTTCGTACGCGTACTTATGGTACATTTTCTTCTCGCTACGAGCAGCAGATATTATTATTGAAATTTTGTAGGCTATTATAGCGTAGGTATTTTCGCTATTGTATGGGAGTGACGTATCTGTTCTGTCTGTGGCCTTACTATAAAATAGTCTTTCAACTGAACAGACAGATTTTCAAATGCATGCGGCGAGACGTACGCAACTTATGTACAGTTTGTAATGAAGAAGTGATCGACAGGACTCTATAGTCTTTGCTAGAGATTCGTTGCCAGAAAGAGCAAACTATCGAAGTTTAAGACCGAATGTGGCAGCATCGTTTCCGAAGATTTTGAGTGAGATTGAGAGGTTCTACGGGCAGCTGTACACGTCATCGTTGGGACCACAAGCAAGTGTGAGTAACGATCCAAGACCAAGTCTATCCGACATTACTCCGATGATATCCCGGATGTCAGTCTGAGTGAGATTAGAATATCTCTACATCACCTTAAAAACTACAAGCCCCGAGCAAGGATGGAATCAAAGCGGAGCTTCTGAAAACGAGTGAAAAACCAGTACTTGAATTCCTTCAGAAGCTCGTTAAAGAGGAAATATTCCGTCCTCCATGTTGGCATTACTCCGGAGGCGTGGTGCGGAAGTGAGATGGTCATGTTCTCCAAGAAACGCAACAACATTCTCGAAGAGCTATTGATAGATTGCACTTCTGAGCCGCGACTGCGTGCTGTTTTCGGGAGTCATTACGATTTATCTCGAACAAGCCGGTTTTCAAAAAGGTTTTAGTACCATAAACCACATACATACTCTTCGGCAAATTGTAGAGAAGACCGAAGAGTACAATCTGCCATTGTGTCTTGCGTATGTGGACTAAAAGAAAGCCTTTGATTTTGTTGAAATTGAGGCGGTACTGTACAGTTCATCCAGCGATGCCAAGTTGACTATAGGTACATCGAAGTGCTGAAGTGTTTGTACAGTAGCGCTACGATGGGTAATCGAGTATAAAACTAGAGTACGAAACCTATTCAACTGCAGGGTGGTGTAAAACAGGGTGACGTTACATCCCCGAAACTCTTCACCGCGGCATTGGAATACGTTTTCAAACAACATGACGGGAAAGGATACGGTATTAACGTAAATGACGAGTACATCATTCATCTTCGATTTGCCGACTATATAATCCTTATGGCAGAATCGCTGGTGAACCTAAGCACTATGTTCAATGACCGCAATAGTGTCTCCGAACGGGTGGGGTTTAAGATGAACATGGACAAGATGTAAGTCACGGCAATGTCGTCAATGTCACACCTATGTCGGTAGTTTTGTTTTGAATTGACGAGTATGTTTACCTGGGACAAATAGCCCGACTAGGTAAGTCCAATTTCCACCGAAAGGTCAATCGACGGATTCAACACGGCTGGGCAGCGTTCGGAAGATTACGACACATCTACTAGTCAGGCATACCTTAAAACCTGGAAACAATACCGTACAACTAGTGCGTGTTGCCAGTGATGACCTATGGATCTGAGACGTAGTTCTTTACTGCTGGCTGTATTAGGAAGCTCAAGGTTGCTCAGCGAGCTATGGAGAAGGCTATGCTCGGGGTTTCTCTGCGTAATGAACTTAAAAATGAGAATATCCGCAGTAGAACCAAATAACCGACATAGCCCAACGGATTAGTAAGCTGAAGTGGCAATGGGTGGCTTAGTTGCCGTGGCTTGTCACCCGCTGTGAACTAAGAAGAATCCACATGGCTGGCCCAAGGCGAAGGGCCGACCTCGCCCTATTCCACGCGACTCTGGCGGGGCCGCACTGTTAATGCGGTGGCGATAGGGCTGCGGGGGGAGAACAATGCCGGTATTGCAAGATGCCGCTCTCCCTACACTCCGCAGCCGAATCTTGGTTGACAACGGAGCCATAGACCGGATCCGACGCTAGGGCTAGTGCTTCTGAGTGCTCGTTGTTCCTGGTCACCTGACGTGAGGGCGTCTGTTGCGCAGGTGAAGTTGGAGGCCGCGAAGGAAGACGCACCATGTGTTCCCGTGCGCGTTACCTGTGAAAGAGATGGGAGAGGAATAGTCCTCTCTCTAGGAGGGGCTTCCATGGGGCGGTCTGTGCTGATGGGGCCGCGGATGTATGCGAAAGCGTACCCGTGGCCCTTCCAATATGCGACGATGGTGTAACACCATGTGGTTTTAGTCATAACCCGGGGCATTTCTTGGGGGAGGCCTATGTTCTGTTCAGCAGTGGACTTGTTAAGTGCTTTATGTAATGAGTAAATAATGAATCAGGATGGTACTGCTGCCCATCTGCTGTACCTAGTATATGATGTGATAATTATGTATAACTACCAACCTAATGAACGCAGTATCGTGCCTATTTCTCTTACGTCCACAATTTGTTTTCCAGAGTGATCAAATACTTCAAATGCTTCAATAATTTTCTTTTCTAAATCATTGTTCGGTTGTACTGTAAAGTAAATATATATTTAATAAACAAAATCAGAATCTACGTGTGTTTATAACAGTTATAATTTAAACATTGACAAACTCTTGGGCTCTTCTTTTCGCGCCATGCCTTTAGAAATGTAAAAAATATATAGATATAAATAATTTCTTTAAATTTTGTGGCTTCCAAAATTTTTACGATAACAAAAAATAGCTTTAACTCGTTGCTTAGTAACCTTAAATTACTGTATATATACCATAGATATATACTAGAGATTAGTAACCACTAGTAACATTTCTCAGTACCTGTGTATGTGTATTATCTATAGTAACCTTTGAGTATTCAACCAACTGGAGATGCCATGCGCGTTTATTCCTAAACAAAAAGTATGTCAATTTCAGGGGGCGCAAGAAAAACACACTACTGTATCCTTCACTACAAATGCAAAATATAATCGCGCGCGCTACAGCATTTGTGTTTGTGTTCACTGTTCATTGCGGTGCATTGCATTTACGCATACATCAAACATCAAATTGTACACGTGTCAATACACTAGTGCCCGGTGCCACTGTCTACATGCATATGCAACGTAAGGCAAGGACTATATCGATGTTTTAATCGATTAACAAATCATCATAGTCCGCATAAGTTCAGCGTTCGTAAAAGTGATTTTTAGTATTTTTCATTTATTACCTACAGCCCTTCACAAGTCCGCTGCTGAATATAGGCCTCCCCCAAAGGATGCCACAAACCACGGTTCTGATCCACGTGCATCTATCGACTTCATGCATGTCTTACCAGGTCGTCACTCCATCTATTGGTCAGGGAGGTCCCCTGCATTGCACCCATTGTACCCAACGGTAGTGGTAGTCTCGCTGCCACTCGAGAACCTTTATCCCACCATCGGTTATCGATTCTTCGAACTATATGGCTCGCCTTTTGCCACTTCAGCTTACTAATCCTTTGGGCTATGTCGGTTTCTCTGGTTCTACTGTGAATATCTTTACTTTTATGTTTATCACGCAGAAAACCCCGAGTATAGCAGTCTCCGTAGCTCGCTGAGCGGCTTTGAGCTTCTTCATACGGCCAGCAGTGAAGGGTTTTTTAGTGTAATATAAAATAATGATTTTATTAGTAAATATAATTATGGCCAGTTTTCTAAAAACTGATCAAACTCAGATTTTTAAACTGCTTGGGTACTTCCACGTTGTGTGTATACCGAGCAATAAAAACACTAATGCGTCAGTAGCTGCATTGAAATTATCGCATATTATATCAAACCCGCAGTCGACATAGCTTTCATCGATGACCAAGATACAATAACTTTTTTATCAGGGTTGCACTCCGCTCTCAATTTTAATGCTGTCAGCGCACCTTGAGAAACCCCTGGTTAGCCATTGATGATACTGTACCACTTAGTCAATGTCCGTGGTGCAGGCAAACATGTTGCAAATGTTTTACGTACATAGCGATAGGATTTTCGTTAAATAATCAAGTGTTCAAGGGCGAAACGTTTTAACTAAGACTTACTTTTAAGTAATTGTCTGTTATAATTAGGGCTGCCATCCGTCCGGGTATCCCCGAATTTGTCCTAGTTGGGAAGACTTCCGGGGAGCGTCCCGGAGGGGTATAATTGTACAATTTTGCTATTTTACTACACGAGCGGCCTCTGCGCCAAATTTCAACTTTCTAAAGTCAAAGTCAAAATTATTCATTCATAAATTTTTATTTCATTAAACAGCAATTATTACTAAAATAAGTCATAAGCATTTTGTTTTTAACAGTGTCTGTTGACAACGGTGCAGTGAAGAAGAGACAAGAAACTCGAGGTTTACTCTTTTAAAAACTGGTTGTGCAATTTTTCTTATTTACTTTATACTGGTCTTCCCATATATTTTTGTCCGTAGACAGAGAAACCTGTAGACTCTTGATTAGCGTGGCCTCGAGCGAGAAAGGACGATAACGTAGTTTTAGGTTGTACAAAATAATCTTTATGACTTTTAAACATATTTAGATAAAATTTTTAATTGTTCTAAGAACTGAACTGAACAAGATTCACCAATCTTAAGCCCACAAAACACTTTTTTCTCACTTAAACCAATTAGTAAACTCCTTAGATCGCTACGAATTGTCAAAGTTATTTAGCAAAGTGTAGTTTGCTAAACAAAAAAACTGCCTGCACGGAGAAAGGGACAAACAATCATACCGCTCTGTCTCATTTCTATGCAAGACGTATGCATAAATCTATCTTTATCGTGTGCGAATGCGAAAGAAGGCGTCAATTTGTCTATAAGTTTCTCTGTCTACGGTTTTGTCACATAATCGTAGCTAATCTACATTTATGTAGTGCTAGTTTTTATTATTTCTAGTATTATTGTCATGCAGGTGACAATTTGTGTTAAATTGATTTAGATTCTGACGAACGTAACATTATGTTAGTAAAAATATATTGATGGTATTGTCATGCATGGACATTAATTTTCTTTCGGTTTATAATTTGTAATTGGGTCCCGCCTGCTACTAATACTAAACTTAATATTTCACTTAGGCTATTTTACTTAGGCTTTCAGCTCATAATATAGTCTGTTAAACCGAAGTAGAGTTTACTTTGTTTATAGTTTTTTTTAATTTTTTTTACGCAATCTTGTTTCCTTCCTTTTAGTCCCTGACCTCTATATATACAAGTACGCTGAACTGGCTATAATAGCGTAGCTGGCTCCTTTCTGCCAAGGAGGGTCGCGTTCGTATACGGCTTAGAGATCTCTAGTCAGATCGTTAAGCCACTTCCTAAAAGGTTGAGTTTAGTGGGTAAAAGTCACCACATAACCACGCAGCCGGCTGCGTGGTATGCTATGAGCATTCTCAACCTCCCTCCCCCGCTTTCCGGAGGGTTACCCATATTTGCTTCGGGCGTAAAAAAAAACTGGCTATACCATACAAAATGGGTGCGTTTGGCAGAAAAAAGCGCTAGCAAGCGCTTATAAGCGCTAAAATAGTTTTCGGCCAGGACACGATTGCTACTTCAGTAGCGCTGACACAATCCGCCATTTTGCTTATTTAATTTGTTTGTTTTGAAGTAGAGTTTATAAGTTGTTTTGTGCAATATTAGTTTTAAGTAATATAATGACATGAATAAACATATACATGCTATTAAAAACTCATGATTGGTAAGTTTTTAATATGAATACTTTACAAACATATATTTAAATTAGGTTAGATTCCACGGTTAAAACTAACATCGTATCCTGGAGGAAAATAGCTACTTTGACAGCGCTTACCGCTTACGATCGCCATTTTCCTTACAAGCGCTTGCTAGCGCTTTTTTCTGCCAAACGCACCCAATGACTGTGCCAATTTGAAGCGCCGCTAAAGGATGTCTTGAAAAATAAAATTGACATAATATGCCAAAATCTGTTGTCTTATTTATATTGTATTATTTAATAAGTCTGTATTTTTAACTTTTAAACTAAAAAACTAGAGTATTTTGTTGTTTGATTGTGTATAATATTAGTTGCATAATAAGAATTATTTTTATTAATAATGAGATAGTGCGTAATCTGTAAAACTCGTTACCAAAAGCGAAGTGGTATAATATTTCACAAGTAAGTGAATTTGCAGCAAATATTAAAGAAATTAAAACTATTTGATAATATAAGTACTTAAAAATTTGTTACTAATCTTAATATCATATTTACTAACATGTTTGGGTGTATATTACTGAGTTTTGATAAACAATAAAATTCAATAGGGTTGTCGAGTTCCTTGTCTATAACACTTATCGATATTCTTTGCTACTCATATCTGTTCATACAAAATCGCCAACAACGGATAATTATCTAATGTTTATTTAATTAACAGGTTTCCAACTGAACCTAGACTAAAATTACGGCTTAAAAGCATAAATATTGTGAATTGGCATCCGAAACAAAATTACGAGTATCATATTTATTCCAAACATTTTACAGTTTTATTAGACATGAGAACTGCACCACTTTGAAAAAGTGCAGTATACCGAAAATGTTTTCTGGTACCAGTAACCAGTAGGAGCAAAAGTATTAGATTATTATTTCGAATGTTTTTTTATTTCTTCTTTGCCAGTGTCGAAAGATCACCCGATGATGTCAAGCCACGTTGTATGTGTGTTAGTGGGCTGCGGCTAGAGGAGATTCCTCTCCCTGGACCGCAGTAATCAAGGTGGAGTCGTAAGGAAAGAGGAGTGTTGGTATGATGATTGGCGATGCGCCACTCGACTATCTTTCGCGACTTTGGTGAGGCTGCACCACTTGCTGCTTCCAAGTGCTCGTTTTTTCCTGGCTCCATTCACACATCGGGCTCGGGGAGTCCGTAGTGCAGCTCGTATCTCTATAAATGTTTCCTCGGTTTAAGATCTTTGTAGAATATTTAGAGACGATACCAGGAGACCCGACGGTATGGGTTTAGTTGCTTGAGAGAGAGAGAGAGATAAAGCTTTAGTGTGGGATACTACTTGCGAACACTTTGACAGCATCCCATCTCAGGGGTACCTCGTCTAAAGCAGGAGTGGCATTAGAGGCAACTGAACCAAGTAAATAGCCCAGAGTATCTGGAAGATAAGTACATATTTGTGCAATTTGCTGTAGAGACTATTGGTCCGTAGGGTGCACGTGCGGTGTAGTTCCTAAATAACTGTATCTGCGACTGATCATCGCTGCTGGTAATAAGAAGTTGTTTAGTTTGTTGTTTCCTCGCTTGAAGGCTAAGTATGGCCATTCAGTGAGGACCCGTAGCCAGCATTCTTGGAACGATACCACAGAAAGTAGGACTTTATGATAATTTCAGTTATTTTTTTTTAAATATTGTAATTTCAATTTCGAAAATGACGTTGTAAATAACTGATAACTATGTAATTCAAAGTTTATATTTTTTTATATAATCGTACCCGGCGCATTGCTGCCGCAGAAGAAATAATTGTGGAAATATCGTTAAAAATGTGGAACAGTTATTATATTGTTTAATTAGGAATGATAATACAACCATTGAATTAGAATGATATATAACTTCTATAACTTTCAAATAAATAGTCGTTATAATACGCACGCCACCTAATGTCAGTTAATTGTACATTGCGTATAACCTTCGCACAAGTGC